TTCATGTGGAATCGCATTTTGAGGGATCTAGGCGCCTGAAACCAGAAATGCAACATCAATAAGCACAGCAGCAGCAACAACAACAACAACAACATCAACCACAATGGGGGGATGTGTGACCGGTTGATTGTGTCCTTGACTGAGAATCGATGGTACTGGAGCTGTCAACCCGATTACCCAGTGCACTACCTGGTGATATGCTCATCAGCTTCGAAACGCACAAACTGTTCTCACTCGGATTAACACTCGATTGTCGCGTGAGCTCTGTGCCCATTCGTGTTGGCGGTGTGTGCAGCAGATTAGCAGCGATCGCACCTCAGTGAACCCTGCTTAGTGACCTGACGTTGTTAAGGGCTTGATGTGGGCCTCAACATGTGGTCTTGAACCACGCCGGGGCCACGGAATTAACCCTGGCCCGATTGCGCTTCCCTGATCCTCGCGATGAAGAAAAAAACCCGAGAGGACGTGGACACAACCGTTTACCTCAGAGATCCACCAAGTTGGTGTCGTTGTGTCGTGTGTGGAGTTAGCGCGTGTGTATTTATACCTCGGATGTGTGAGTCATACATGCGCTAACATCGAGACCTAGGTGTGAGGATAATCCAAGATAAATATCCGTGCGAATGAGGGGGGAGTTGAGGCTCCGCTGTAGTGAACTGACAGCCACCTCGCGTGAGTGATGCGCACATGAGGGCCCGAGTGGACCAATGACTCATCCCTTTTGTTATTGGCCTCTGTCAGCATTCGTCTGTTACACACGCGTACTCATGCGCACACAAAGCCACTTGGCTGTTGTGACAACAATAAACGGTCGTGTTCTCTGTCGCCTCTTTTCCCCCTTTCATCGGGTAGTCACGGACTGTTAACTGGAGGGTTGTAAGGTAGTGCTAAAACCCTAGCCACAACAAATCCACTACTACCTCTGTCGAAACGCAGTAAAAACTTGTGGGTATCATACACCACAAAACTTTATAGCCACGGTTTTAAATCAGCACGCATTGTCAAACATCGCGTCATTTGGAGTGTAGTAAGTCATTCGCATGAGAGTGTACCCCTTTAAGAAAATTCGATTTGGCAGACAATTGAGCCAATGTTCAACACCCTAATTTTCAACGGCATTCTTTTCTGACTGAACGATTCGGTGAACTTCTATATTTCGGACACGTAAAAGGAATTCAAGTAACACTTTCGTTATTGTATTCAATACCGGTCTTAGGCCTGTTGCTTCAATTGATGACGAAAGGCATTTGTATTTTTCTTCAACGATTTTGTTGGGGAAGACAGCATTCCCAAAGATAGGTCATCACTAATTATTGTTTGCGCTGTCGCAGCAATTCGAGCAATATAATCTCAAGTTAACATTCCATAATACCTTACTTAAGGAAGTGCCCAACGCGCCCAGTAGACAGGGGTCTATTGCTCTTGTTGATCAGCGGGAAGGCTGTTTAATCCAAATCCGGTTCATTACAAATTTGCAGCCAAACTGGCTTCGAATACCAATATTGTCTACCTAGTCCTGAACAATATCTCTGAATCCAGTGTTTAAAACATCGGATGGCTTACCATGACAATTGCAGCCGTCATTCAAAGATCTTTGATTCTATTGTCCAGAGAAGGGTTTCGATTAGCGTTAGACAGATCCATTCGTCGCCACTAATATAGAATAACAGTTCAGCCTGGATAAACCAACCTCTAGCCAAAACCAGCTCCAGATACCTTCCGTCCAGCCCGATCCTGGCTACTCTGATAAATATGCATTGCTTTCCACCTGTCCATGTGTATCGACGTCTGAGGGGGCAGACATATTGGACTAAGCTGGCCTCAGCTAATCCTGTGTCTCTCTGAGTTCCAGTGGCATGCGAGGAAGATAAGCAGCCAATCAGAGAAGGACACGAATGAGGTGCAGTATATAATGAGCGGCGTGGACAGTGTGGAGGACTTGGATGGACGGAGCCTGACATATGGTTCTGGATTGTGATTGATCGATAAAGCCTGTTCTGTTGTACCGGTTTTCTCCATACTTGGTCTCGGGTATTCTACACATGTTTTCGATTGGCTGGTGATCTTCAAAATAGGCCAGTGAAATGCCTTAAAGCAAAGGATTGGCTGAGCTTAGGGCGATCAAAGATGTCTGTACATTGGACGACACTGCTGTGGAATACTCGAGTCGAAGTATGGTGAAAACTGCTGTAACAGAACAGGCCTAAACCAAACGTCAGGCGCCGTTCATCCGAGTCAGCGCCACAGCGCCGTTCATCCGAGTCTGCGCCACCCATAATATTCCGCTTCTCTCACGTTGGTAACATCTTTATCGCATTTCATTGTAATGCAAAGAGATTGAGGATAGACTGAGCCCGGTGTGGTCCAATATGTCTGCGCCTTTAAGTCGCTACACCACAACTGTAGTGTAGAATACCCGAGCCCTATTAGGAAACAGATTGGTACGACAGAATAGGCTTTATCGACCAATCACAAGCCAGAGCCACACACACCAGGCGCCTCCCATCCGAGTCTACCACGCTGGCCACGCCGCTCTTTATATACTGCACCTCATTTTCGTCCTTCTCTGGTTGGCTGCTTATCTTCCTCGCATGCCATTGGAACACAGAGAGACACAGGATTGGCTGCGGCCAGGTGGTCCAACATGTCTCGCCCTGATCCGACGTGACAACCACTGTAGAATACCCGAGCCCTAATAGGTAAAAGACTGGTACAACAGAACGGGCTTTATTGACCAATCAGAAGCCAGAGCCACACGTCAGGCGCCTTCCATCCGAGTCCACCGCGCTGGCCACGCCGCTCATTATATACTGCACCTCAGTTGTGTCCTTCTCTGGTTGGCTGCCTTCCTTTGCCGCATGCCATTGGATCGCAGAGAGACACGGGATTGGCAGAGGCCAGTTGGCTTAACATGTCTGCGCCCAGATCCGACGCCACACCACACCACACTGCACTACACAGTATTATTTCAGTGCTAAGTTTTACGATGAGCGTGCCTTTCACTCAACGACGAAGTTTTAAAGTAGACAAGATACAGCAAGCCGAAGAGAGAATCAAAAACAACGTTTGGGATATCGAAGCATGGAGTGTTATCCTTCGTGACGCTCAGTCGAAGAAAATAGATGAAGCACGCGAATCCTTCGAGCGGATTATCGCACAGTTTCCCACTGCTGGCCAGTATTGGAAGATATATATTCAGCAAGAAGTACATTAGCAATTTATGTTGTAGTAATTTTTATTGCTTGAAATACTATAATCTCCCGCTAAAACTTTTGCCATGACCTTTTATTGCACGATGTGCTTCTTGTTACGTATAATCTGGAAATCTTTACGAAGAATCGACCTTATTTCGTTGGAACTGGTGTTTTTTCTGTAAATATAAAAGGCTTATTTGCTTATTTATCCACCTCGATCACTTTGAAGTAGCATAGACAGGCCTCAAATTTCCGTTAGATTAGGTTTTGTAACCGCCCCAATTTGGAGCAATGGAAATCCATTGCTTATTTACCTGTTATTTAGTTTTTTTGTGTAACTTTCATATTTTGTTGAAATCCATGTTACCCAGGAATTCTTCATACAGGTCGTATTCCTTCTCTTTCGGAGTATTGCACAGTTTTTGACAGTATAAATATAGTTGCTACCATGATTTTTTTTTCATCTATTATTACATAAGTGAACATTCGCAACTTTTAGATGAAGGCAAAGAATTATGAGCGCGTGGAAAAGTTGTTCCAAAAATGTCTCATCAAAATTTTGAATATCGACTTATGGAAACTCTACCTGCAGTACATAAAAGATACAAAAGGAAAACATCAGAATTTCAAGTAATTTGTGAAAAAAGTTAAATGAAAATGTTAGGGAAAAAATGGCGCAAGCTTATGACTTTACATTGGATAAAATGGGACTTGATTTGAACTCGTATCCAATTTGGGCTGATTATATTACATTTTTGAGATCCGCGTAAGTCCCTTTCAATATGCCTCTTTTCCTCTAAATCGATTCTTACAATAGAATTGTGTTAATTTTCTCTGTAGCCAAGTTCAAGGTTCTTATGCAGAGAGTCAGAAGATAACAGCCACTCGTCGAGTCTACCAGAGAGCTATCATAACCCCAATGATAGGCATTGAGACAGTGTGGCGAGATTACTGCATGTATGAAGACTCCATCAACCCTCATATTGCTAAAAAGTTGACAGAAGAGCGCAGTCGTGACTACATGAATGCACGCAATGTCACCAAAGAGTACGAAATTATGACCAAGGGTCTGTCAAGGAACATCCCCTCTGTGCCACCTCAAGTAACCCCACTTGAGGTCAAGCAAGTGGAGCTTTGGAAAAAGTACATCCAATGGGAAAAGGATAATCCTTTGAAAACCGAAGACCTCACCACAATCACCAAACGGGGTAAAACTCTCAATACGTATATTTGTATCGTAGGTTGTCTTGTTTTATAATTTCTCCTATTTTTCTCTTCTAGTTATGTTTGCCTATGAACAGTGCCTCCTTTGCTTAGGACATCATCCCGACATTTGGTATGAGGCTGCAAGCTATCTGGAGCAAGCTAGCAAGCTCCTTGCTGGGAAGGGCGTAAGTTGTGTGGCATCATGTTCTGTTGCCATATATTGGAAGATAGAGAAATGCTTTGAATCATTGCAATTTACAGCTGTTTCACTAATTGTACAGATAACTCTGATGGTCATTTTCTGTTTATCGGGGATAACATAAATCGGAGGGGACTGTATATCAATTAAAGAAGGCCTATGTTTCAGATGTTAATGTTATTGTGAGAATGCTGTGGAGGCCGATAACGAAAAGGCGCTCGGGTGCATCTCTTTTCATTTCCACAGGATCAGGTGATGGCTTCCCAATTTGCTGACGATACAGCAGCCATGTACGAAAGAGGAATCAGCCTCCTAAAGAACAACATTATGCTTTACTTTGCTTACGCTGATTATGAGGAGGGTCGGTGCAAATACGCCAAGGTTCACAGCATCTATAAAAAACTTATTTCCCTTGAGGGCATTGATCCAACTTTGGTAAGCTGCAGTTCAACTTAACAAAACTCGTCTAGAACTTTCTTCTCACGATTTTTGTCCCTCCTCCCCGCTAGCCATACATTCAGTACATGCGCTTCACCCGTCGCTGCGAGGGTATCTTGTCGGCGCGAGTTGTCTTCAAAATGGCCCGTGACGATCCCCGTGTTGGATATCAGGTTTACGTGAGTGCTGCTCTCATGGAATACTACTGTAGTAAGGTATATGAAAACTTTCTACGACTGTGAAGCCGAACTTGTCATTATATTTACGCGTTCTAAATCAAGGGGTTTTTGAACTTTTGGGTTGAGTCCAATGCGCTTTAGATTACTTTTTTTCCTACATCTAATTCAGCATCTTAGCCCACAATTTTTTTAATTTAATTAAAATACTAAAAATATTCATCTTGAGATGTGTCAGGATGACTTTCTTTTACTAATTAACTCTCTTTAACAGATTATTCCTACTTTTAGTTAGTATTTTACTTGGAATTAGGTTGTTGTAGGACATTAAAACACGATGTACCCAGAGAATGCTCGTTCAGGAATGGAGTGAGGTTCCTGCAGGTGCTCATAGCGGGAGTCTCTATGAACAGCTATGAACCGTGTGACCGATGGGGAAATATACCTGTCAATCCTAAATTTATCTCCTGATAACTCCTGTAGGCGTAAAAGCACGGCCTTTGCTACAATGTGGTTAGGTGTACTCAGCACCTGTCCTTTAGATCGAAACGAGTTGCATCCCAGTTTGGGGTCAGGTCATACGGGTGTTCTGGCCTCACTTTTAACCAGCTAACCATAGATCGATTTTGTTAAGAACAGCTTGTAACCTATTCTATTTGAACCGGGAGGATTACTAAAAAGAACGTTTCTGGTGCTTGAGAAAGCACCCAATTCAGCCAAATAAAGGCCGAATGCATAAAATTTCAGAACGTCGCATGATGTTTCCTCAATAAGCTAACTGTGACATCGGTGACATTGGTTTAATTTGTGTGATTTAATTTATGACCTTTTTTTTCAGGACACAAACGTTGGTCACAAGATCTTCGAGTTGGGTATGAAGCGCTTTGCTGGTAACCCTGACTTTGTATTGTGTTATGTCGACTACATGTCACACTTAAACGAGGATAATAACACACGGGTGCTTTTCGAACGTGCTCTTGGCTCCGAGCAAATACCCACAGACCGTGCTCGCTCCATTTGGGCCCGATTTTTGCAATTTGAATTACAGGTATTAATTTTTTTTGCGTCTACAACTTATGCAAAGTGTGCGTATTTTACTCATAAAAACTGTATTTTTATGTCTAGGTTGGTGACCTCTCGAGTGTTCAGAAAATCGAAAAACGCCGTCTTAAAACATTAGAGAACGTAAAGGAATTCCAAGGTCGTGAAACGGCCCTTCTGATTGACCGTTATCGATTTTTGGACTTGTTTCCTTGCTCAGAATCGGAACTTCGCTCACTTGGCTATAGGGTAGGTTCTCTACTAGGCATATATTGCACCTTCTCTTTACGTGGCTTTTTTTCTTCCTATTGATTTTATAGTTCTGATTATTTGTTTAAAAGTGTCGTTATGGTCACTTGCATTATCAGTAGTTTTCGGTTTACGGTCGTATGTGTATCCTAACGCCTTTAAATCAGTAGGCCACACACAATTCACCCTCTGGTTTATACCTCTCCCAAAAGCGGTAAAGAATGACTAACGGAACTTCTCAATCGAAAAGGGCCCTGTTTATTGCCACAAGCGTTGTTTCATAGATAACATAGGATTCCCCTTACCTGGCTGGTCAAATGAAGTTATCAGAAGGGGTTTTTTTACTTTCTAGACAGACGCATTAAGATTATAATAATGAAAATTTTGTTCACAACGAGTTTTTCGATGCAGCATACGTAGAAATTAATGAAAAATCTGGCAGCTTTGTAGAGGGTTCTCGACATCACTTCCACTTCTTCATTGTTTTGGTGAAACACGATTCCTTCGCTATTCACTTAGTCTGACACAATCTCCTTGAGTGCTTATGATCCCAGGTTCATCAGTTCCTGACATTAAACATCTCATTCGACAGCTTATTTTGTTTGAAGCAGTCCCAAAACACTGTCTTTGTAAACTCACGTCGACATCGTGGTCATTTGTTAAAACAACTCGGCTTGTGATGTGATGTGTGCTGCTTTATAACGCTTTGACAATGATCATTTTCAGTAAATGCTGTAGTAGATTATCAATTTCAAAAAGAGTATCACCATTAATTTCGAGATATATATTGCAAACAAAAGGCCTTCACATTAAGTTAATTTCATTCAGTTTATGAGGTAGCCAAACTTCGAGTTCCCAAACACGTCCAACACATTGTTGATGATTTCTTGGTTGTGCACAGCACATTTAGTAACCTGTTTGCAAGTTCTCGCAGAAATATGACGATCCGATTCAGCTAAGCCTTTGATTTGGTCAGTATCAGCTGCAGGAGGTCGATCCAAATATTGGCCGACTTTGGGTGCAAAAAAGCCCAGAAGGGAATTTCAAATTAGTTCTGACACGTGCGTTCTGTTAAGCAATCAGCAGCACCTACCTCTCACGTCTCTTTGTTGAGTTTGCTCAGTTTTGAACTCCATGTTAAAATTTTCTCTTAAATAACATGATGCGGACACAATTGAGCCCATCCTGTTTGTCAAGCAAATAAAACGTGTGGAAGAAAAATCACATTTTTAAAGACAGTCCTTCAAAGCAAAATGAACGCTTTTTATGTTAAAACCGATATCGCATTCTCCTTTTTTCCAATGGTGACACCTGTATTTGAAATGGCCCTTCGCACTACTCACATGGCACATCTGATCGGTCACATTTCGGTATTACAGGACGCAACTCGGTCGGGCGGAGTAATAGACGGTGGGGCTTGTTGGTCTCCCGCTTTCCTTTTAGCACCGAAATCTCGTTAGGTCGTGGCATTTTGAGATTTCGTAACTCGTTACAGTGATTTCTGATTTATAACTAAGCATGAATTTAGGTCTGTGCAGTAGAGCATTCACATTTAGCATTCACCAGCGAACACGCATGATGCGAAACTTCTCTGAACGGGTGAATAGCCAACTCCTACTCAAATATGTTTACACTAACTATAACTATAAACGTGCATGCCTGCCCCTTCACCTTGTTTGCGTACTTTTGATCACAAAACCAACTTTTGTGCACAGTTAACTTTTGCGTCCTTAAGAATGATCTCGTCCATGTAACCAATACTTCTCCAAAAAGAAATAGGACCATCCATAAATTGTCTAGCACTTTGCGATTCATCTAATTGTTGATTTCGTGCTAAGGCCTTTTAATGGCCAACACCGCTTAAACACCAGTTTCCTCGTGCGTCTTTGGATGGGCGGGGTTGTATGAAATTCACGTTGCATGTCACCAACTTGCGTAAATTGTAGTCGTAGGCTGTGTAGGAAACCGAAAGACACGCCTAGTTTTTAGTCTGTTGCTTGTTGTAGGAGTTGGTGAAGTTCAATCTAACAGGTGTAGGCGGAACCTTCATTCCCTCGATCCCATCGGCCTCCGTCGGAGATGACTTACAAGGAAGCGGCGCCACCCAGTCGGCGCTGCCCATGCTTGACTCGGGAGACGGGGCCGTTGTCATGTCGGGGGGCTCGAAGCAGCCCACATTCCCCCAACCCGACTTCTCACAGATGTTGCCCTTCAAACCGAAGGCCTATCCACGCACTGGCAGTCACCCGGTAGCTGGTGGGGAATTCCCCCCTCCCCCTGCTGCCTCTGCTCTCATTCACATGCTCCCTCCACCAGATTGTTTTCATGGACCGTTTGTACAGGTGGACAAGTTCTTAGAACACTTCCTCAATCTTGAAATCCCGGAAGGTAAGCCTCTGCTCGTAGTTTGGCGTAAAATCGTGTTTTCAATACGAGAGTTCGTGAAAGTGGCTTAATAAAACTTGTTTTGACCTCTTTTATCACTAGTTTGTAACACAGCATGGTCGCAGAGTGCCATTTTGAACTTTTTAGAATTCGCTCAAACATCTAAGACTTGTTGATTTAGCTTCCGCATCGCATACAGGAATCCTATGCTTGTACTTGCTCAGCTCAGTATGAGAGTCAAAGCCTGTCGCATCCTTACCTTGTATTCGCACGCTAACATCCATCGCTTGAGTACAGTTTTCATTGATTTTAGACTGAGATGAAAAGAATCTAATCCATAATCCTTTTTTAGACTATATCGCTCAGGTGATGGCTGAGTCGGAGGATATGGCGATGACGAACATAGATGCAGGTACTGCGGTCTCAATCGAGATGTCCAACGCTGCGCCACAGCAGCTAATGTTGGCAGCCGTTGCGCGTCGACGAAAACAACAGGAGGGGCCCATTGCGGGTAGAAAGCGTGCCGGAACGGCCATAACCAACGCCTTTGGCGACTCGGAGGACGAAGCCGATCCCGATGAAGATGACGAGGACGATGGACCCATTAATGACGACTCAGAAGGTGTTATTGGTAGTTCAAATGTTACCTCCGGTGGTGTTGTTGATTTGTTCAGACTGCGGCAGGTCAAGCGCCACAATGTTGCATGAGCACTTTTTTGTGCTCGTGATCAGTTATGTGTACATAAAACGCCGTTCTGTCTATGCTCTTAATGAGATACACGTTTCGAAATGAAACAAATTTCTTCATCATTGTCTGCTAGGTCAAAATGGAGTTACCATCAAAAAGGCGTCTGTCGCCGAAGGCGGTCAAAAATCATTGACAGGCATGATATTTCAAGTAGCATAGAGTGTACGGAATGCAAATTGTTGGGAGCGGAAAGAATTGTGATTTCCACAAATGACTTATTCTCGTCAGTGATCAATTACAGCCCCATTAGTTCTACGAAAACCTAGTCTTGGTCATTTTATTTCCGCTTATCTTGTTGAAGGGCGAAAACGCTCACATACTAGTCATTGTTATCGCCTAAGCTGATTGCAGACGCGGTAGCAACTTAAGCGTGTTAAGGGTTTCGATTGCTGGCGTTATGGTCGTTTCTCCGAACGAGGTTGCACTCTTCAATGGGATCGTTTGCCGAGGGAGACAATGTGCCACCAGTCGTCACTACCCTACAACTTTTGCGAAGGCTCTAGACGAATCCATCGCTGTGCATCTGCCACAACCCTCCAGTTGGCTCGTAACAATGCGAGAAGAGAGGTGACAGAGGACACAACCGTTTATTAGCGCCGCGCCAGCCAAGTTGTCTCTGTGTGCTTATGTGCACGCGCGCGTCAATCGCGACTGTTCAAAGGAGCCAATAACAGAAAGCGTCATTGGTACAGCTGGACCATTATACACGCGTCACTCGAGGTGGCTGTCTGTCCACTACAGCACTGTAGCGGTTAATTTAGAAATGTGGAAGGATCAGTCGAAAATACGTGAAGACGATTTTATAAACACCTTATTTAAGTTGTTGGATTAAAAAAATGTACCAGAGAGAAAATTTTAAAGAAATAGGCGGGATTGTGGTTAAAACAATTCGGTCGGTGACTTTTCTTAATCGGAACCAAATCCTGAATAAGTTCACAACAATGGGGCTCAATTAGCAAAGACAAACGTGGCAGAGACAGTGACTGACTAGTAAGCGCACTCTAGGGCACGGATATACGAGTAAAGCCTAAGGTAAAGGTCATCGGAACACAATACCTGGTGTGTAGTGGTCATTTCAGAATCTAGTTGTTCTGGCATGAAAAGCTCCAACAGGTGTACGCCAACTTCATCGGTGACCAGACTAGTCATCACATTAAAAAGGGGTAGGCGCATTAAGGCCAATATGACACAAACAGTCAGAGCCTGTTAAATGTAACAGAAAATGTGAAGACTACCATAACGCGATTCGAGTTGCTGTTGAGACAAATAGCATCAATAGAAGCAGCTGATTCCTTTATTTTTACGAGGAAAAAAAGACGTTAAAGAATTAGCATCTCTTTTGTGTATAATGAAAGGAATAACATCGGGTGAAGAAATATTGCATCGGGTAAATGCAAATAGAACGTGGTATTTAATGAATCTGACCAATGAGCCAGCAAAAGCTCGGCGATACCGCAACGTAAAAAGGAATTTATTTGTTGATTAAAAATATCGGATTGAGGAATCTTAGTAAACTCAACTTCTATAACAAAGATTCGTCTTCAGATGCGGATTCCAGCTGAGCCAGTAATTGTACAAGCGCGAAATGAAATTGTGTGGCCTGTTGTTCATCGTCGGCGGGCCCGCCCTCGTTGGTATCGACAATCACAAAAAATATCGGTCTTGGAGGTGGTTCGATGTTAGCTTGCTGAACCCGAACTGTACCGTAGGCTTCCTCATTCGAAGGAGTTAACGAGACCCCTGGAGCCTGCTCGATGAACAACTCATCAACGGGGGGCCGCAGATTGTCAGGTTCTGATGACTCCACAGGATGCAGGCCACTGAAAGATGCAGCCAGAGAACTCGAAGCGCCGCCTGTTTGGAGTATCATCGGAGTTGCTTCTTCTCTTAAGCCATCATCAATTTCGAAACTTAAGGGGTCTACATTCACTGATACCTCACTCGTTGTTCTATGTAGTGCAGAGCCCTGTCCATGAGATATTTGAGGGGAAGACTGTTCATTCAGATTTTCTCTCCCGTCCTCAGCCTCTATAACCTCAGCCCCATCATCAAACATCACCTGTTGCACATTGGCTGTAGGACCGAAAACCCAGACATTCGGATTATGCGGAGGCTGTGGAAGACCACCGAGCATCAGTCCGAATTGTGGCATAATTGGGCGGTAGAGGAGTGGACGGGGCTCTGGAGGGGGCCACTCCAAGATGCGTTCGTCAATTCCAATTGGCTGGCCGAACCCCCTAAAAGTGCGCATTCCTGCGGGATGTGGTTGACGTCTAGTAGGTGATGCGGAATTCGATCGATCGTCAATGATGGGACACGAGTTTGTTTCATGACTACTTTGTCTCCTGATTGGTCCAAAAACCTTGAATCGTCGGACAAATCTGTTAGGTCGGTCACACTTATTCGACTCCCCTTGTGGGCTTAATATCTCTGAATGAGGTGATTCCTGAATGTTAATATCACTGTCATTGCGACCGGTGGGTTCGCCAGGTTTATCTTTGGCTTCAGGTTGCATTAAAATACGGGCATTGCTAGTACAGAGGATTTCGGAGCTATTTACATGAACACGCTAGCACTGATAGGGAGCACCAATCAAAACGATAAAGATGAACAATAAGCGTAATCTTGGAAAGGATTCGGGGTGGTGCAGGTGGCAAACACGATTTTTTATCGATATTTTGAAAAGGAACGTGAATTGACACACGTGGCAATCATGCCAGAGGAGGCACGTGAAGCTTTTACAGCCCAAAAGGAGGCTCTGACGAAGACAGCCAAGCTACTTTACCAGCGATCGGACGCCCCCATGTCCCCCTTAACCGATGCTTCCATTTCGGCAAAAGGTTCAGGCACACAGCAAACCGTCAACGGAGCAGTGCAGGCGCTGATTTCCCTGCCAAGTTTAATAGCGTTAAAAATCGTTACAGTATCTTCGGTCGTGAACTTCTCGCTATCTTGCTGTCAAACACTTTAGATATCTGCTCGAAAATCTGCAATTTAATACCTATAACGACGAATTACTGTCCATTTTTGTCAGCCGTAGGCGTTCTAACCGATTATCATCAAGAAAGTCAAGACACATTGATTGCACTCTACAATTTTTAAGGGCGCGAACAATACCGTAGCAGATGCACTCTCGTTTGCACATTGTTGCTGCAAACACATGTACACAAGCAAAATTCGAGGATATGGCGACTGCTTAGCAGTCCGATCAAGAATTGCAGGAGTTCCCAAGACAAAAGACAGCCATGAAGCTGATTGAAGCGTTCCGTTTTCATCCATACATATTGTATGCAATACTTAAATCGGTGTGCAACGCCCCTTTGCTCCTAAGTCGATGCGCCGCCAAGTGCTGATTTCTAATTGTTATGTTTGGCCTGTCGTAAATCGAGATATTAAACCGTTGACTTGACATTGCGTAAGCTGCCAAATATCCAAGGCGAGCACAGTAAGATCCACCTCTGACAATGTCACGTTCCTGGCGCAAGTTCCGGTCATGTACATGTCGATATTGTGAGACCTTTGAGGCACTAAAGAGGTTTTCGTCACCTTTTAACAAGTGTTGATCGAATTACCCGATACTAAGATACTTTTTCAATGCAAGACAACGCTGATACCGTAGCTAAAACGTTTGTGGGCAGATGGATTGCCTTATTGGGATCCCCTCCACCATCATCCAGACAGGGAAAGGCAGTTCGAATCAAGCCTGTTCCAAAATCACTCACGGCTTCTAGGAATGAATGGCATTCCGACGACCACCTACTACTCTCAATCAAATGATATGGAAAAACTTTTTTACCGGCAATTGAAAGCCGCTCTAACGGCCTACAGTGATCCATCTCGTTGGACGCACGCGTTATTCCTCCTGCTACTCGGGCTTCGATCAGTTATAAAGGGAGACTTGGGTTGCTTATTGACAGAAATGGTTTTCGGAACAACATTGAGACTAACTGGAAATCATCCCTCCCTCAAATAATTCAACCGTCACAGCCAGACCCTCACAAATACGTCAATCAATTATGGGAAAACAATTCAACCCCATTAATCTTCCCCTTTTCCATACACTCCGAAAGCGCTGTCCTTATGCACCCACATTTTCATCAGGCGAGATGCCATCCATCAATCGCTTCAGCCCACTTAGGATGGACCTTTCAGAGTATCCAGGCGAGAAGAAGCGGTCTTCATTGTTGAAAACAACGAAAACGAAGATACAGTATGTGTGGACCGCCTCAAGCCACCTTTCTTCGACGCGGCGATGCAGCTAACTCCCGCCTCTTCGGGCAGTAAATAGACGGTTACCAATACACACGCTATGGCAGACACGTTCGTTTGTCCGATCGTTACACCGCTTGAAGGAAAGACAACTGCTGGACTGACAGGATACCGTCAATCGCGAAAGATGTGCCTTAGTTTTCGGCCCTGGATCTAATTTCCATAGCTCCCTGTCAGGTTCTAAGCATTTTCAGTACAACTATGGCAAAATCACAATCGCACAAAACCTATGGCCCACCCTTCAGCAATCCTGTTGGAAGAAATGATTCGCCAAATCCTTTAGTTGAGGAGGAGAACTGTTGTGAATCGTGTTAGTTCACGTTCGTTAATCTGGTCGTCCCAATCTCCAAAACACTGCACACTCTTCACATCGCGCCATCAGCCATTAGGGAACCTCAACTCACCCGCTTAGCGCGAATGTTTATCTCAGAGTATCACGATGTTAGGGCATGTATGACTAACCGTTTCACACATCCGAGCTATTAGCACACACGCACATGCTTATGTAGACAAAACGCACCGCTTATCAAAAACACTTTTAACAGCAAAAAACTGAAGTTCAACATCGGTCTGTCAGTTGCGTCGCCAGGGCTACTTGATAAAGCGCTGGTAAGTGGGAGGCAAGTGTGGCAGAGCGGAAGTCGCATTTTTCTTTGACACATTCACTGAGGCGACCAAGTGCTGAGGCAGTTTTCGATTTGACTACCTACACGGGAATTAACCGACAATAAGAAAATGGCCAAAAATATCACATTTTGGTGAAATAACGTGGGGAAACGAGTTTATGGAACTTTTGAAAAGTTCTGAGATGTTTTCCACGCTGACCGCTAGTAAGCACATCAGCGGAGAGACGTGTCACGAGCACACGAAAAATAAGTTGGCCTGGGACTCAAAAACCTCCATTACAAAAAGGAATTTCGAGAAGCTGAGATAAAATGCAAGCTTGTGGAAGGCACCGAAGAACAAAAACCCATTCTGTTAAAACTTCATACATGGATAGAATTTGCGGGCTTGAATAAAAAAAACTAGACAGCCTATTGTGCACGTTTCGTCAGTTTTTAAAAGTCTTAACGGCAGAGAGTGGACCAATTATATTAAGGGTGCCAGGTAGATTAAGCCAAAATCTGGAGATTCTCAATTCACATGGCCCCATAGGCAGTCCAGTGATCACCTCAAACGAGGAAGCAGCGCATCCAAGATCGAGCAGTTGCAAAGACCTGCGGAGATTTACAAGTATGATTCTGATGAAACTAAATGGACACGAGGAACAGGGAACTGTGTTTCCACGTTATTTACAGTGACAGTGGTTAATAAACTGTATTGTTTTGCACTAAGGGTAAAATTGAAGTTAGAGACTACGTAACGATTACCATGAACCCTCAAACTGCGGCTTATTAGTAGCAGCCCCTTTGTTGATCTGCTGGTTTAGGCATCCATGTGGTCAACCGCTTACGATTCTCTCTACCACACTGGTCGACTGTGAGTGCAAGAGGTAGACTGAATATGGGCCATGCATTCGATGCTTCTTAATTGTATAACACATCTGCTTTTACGCTTGGTATGTATGGCGTGGTTCGAGCCGCCTCTTTATCCTTTTAAAAATCTGACTTCAGTGTTTTTTTCGGGCAATAGGACCACTGTTTTGGCAAACAAGGTGACATTTGCAAGGCAAGAAAGGGCATATAACAACATTCACCTTATCTGACGCTCCGAAATGTCTTAGCGCAGAAAGTAGCAGAATAATTACGAACTGAACGTCAAAATAGGGGTTGGCTTCATCCGGTTCATAGAGAACGTTCCTAAAACGAGGAAACACGCAAATACTCGGTGTGGAAGATTTAATACTTGAGACACCTTAGTCAGTGTATTACTGCGGTTGAGCAGTTACAAAGCTTCTAATGAGATTTTGGTACAAATTGTCACAAAGATAGAGAGTGGAGCCGCAAAAAACTTTTACCACAATGGCACACTACTGTCCTACAATGGTAAAAAGCACCACTGCATTGATTAGTTTGACGTACATAGCGCGGAGTTTGATCATAGTATCAGCTCGATCAATAACGGAGTCCAGTTGTAGCTGATAGAAATCTATGAGCCACTCTACGGGGCGAGAGAGGAGTGAAGGCATAAGATCGAAGAGGAGGAGGTGAGCCCCTCTAGAGGGACAGACTGGGTGTTGCAAGTCAAGCAAAAGTGCTACCACTCGTCCAGTGGTCTCGCGCACATCATAACATTCATCAAAGAGACCGCAGAGAACCAAACGAAGCAAACTGTAAAAAAAATTGAGGGAGCAGGGTCGTAATTTAAATCTTACAATGATATCACGTCACCGATGCAAAGGGCTCATACACGAATCTAGAAATAGCACAAAAATTCGAGTTACACAATGTGCCTTTTATGAAAACAACCTATAACAGACTGCGACGACACCCGATACATTTCCTTGAGCATGTATCACGCCGATTCTACTAAAAGTGGATTTTTACTGTTAATAATATTTGCGCAATGCTTATAAAACTAGAAGTCGTGGGTGACGTAAACAGTTAGGCATAAGTCATTTATGGAGAAAATTCCCGAGGCAAAAGCACTAATCTTAAGTAATAAACAGGTTAAGCATACTTAGCCAACTGAATTTCGGAAAGGCCGTTCAAGCAGGATTTACCACCGGTGTTGAGCCAAACGAGGAGAGCTTGTGAGGCAGTTATTCTGGACTGCTGGTTGGCGCTGGCCACGGAAAGACAAGGCTGCATATTTTCGAACCACCACGTGACGAATTTGCTGGGAAATAAACACATGGAGATGATCAGGAGGAATAGTCAGGCATTAGTAGGAGGATCACTTTGTGTGGAAACTGGGACAAATCCACAAGTCGAACCATTTCGTTTGGTGACAACGATTGGATCGATTTCCAATGCTAAGGGCTAGTGCAGATTTACGCATTCACGAGTTAAGCTGACCCAAACTGCTTACGACCACAACAAAACCGCAACCCTACGTACTTGGCGAGTCAAATTTTGGAGAATAGGGCTATTAAGGACTGGTCTTATTAATACCACAAATTGGCAAATCTGAAAACAGTGCTTTTAAGACCCCAAACTTGAAATCGTTTTACAGCTGTTCGGGCTCACTCTTGCAGAGGCCTTTTGAAAGTGTTGAGTTGTTAAAGGGCCAAAAAGAGTCACTTTGACGAGTTTCCATGGTCATCACATGGAACAGGACCCCAGTATCGAATTGTGTGCGTTTCTTAATAGAAGTTGCAAAACTTCTGGGAAGTATTGGTGACATAAGTAACAGTACCAAGGTGACCAACCACTAAAGCATAAATGTTGGCTAACTGATACCAGCACTATGAATGAAACGTAAATCCACAATTCCGCACCCACGTACCCGTGCCTTAAAGAACACCTTGGACCAGCACAAACAACTACTAAAAGCCCGGATCACGTTTTATAGCAACTTACCTGGCTTCTCGGATGCGAGCGAGTACCCCAACAAGAGGAGCCATGGCTAGAAGGATCCCGGGTAGCAAAAGACTTTTCTGGCCATCGGTGAGCGGCCAGGAGGTTAACCTCTCAAGACAACTTAGGTCTATGCCATCCTCCGGGCGCTTCCAAACGGACCGATCTAACGCCAGCGACAGTAAAGTGGTGGACAGGACGGTCCCGGAGAGAACATGAGCAAGGTCCGGGGGTGCTCCATAATGGATATTACTTAAAAGGTGAGACGTAAGAACTACCTCCTCGGGTGTGCTTTGGAATATGAATGGGATATCGACGGACTTAGTAATCAGGGGCTGGAAGTCATGGATTGTGTGGTAGAGATCGTAAAAGGCCGAATGGAACTCCGAGAAAAGAGGCTATTGGTAGGAAAAAACAGAGGAGACGGTAAAGCGGTTGAATGTCCTTAATACCGACAAGCCATGAACGGAAGCAGCACCTGGAAAAGTAATCCGTTGGGATAGCTCTGCTTCTGGAGACGCTCACAGAAGAAATAAAAGACTGTGCGATACTTCCCCTTTTCAGAGTTCGGAATGAGCTCGAAGATGCATCGCATGACGCTGGCCAACTGAGCAGCCAGAAACCAGCACGCACGGTCACGCGAGGTCCATTTCGCAAGGTATCGTAAAGCAACACCCCATTCAAGTTTTCTGAAAAAAAATAAGGGCGAAATAAAGAAAATCGACTGTGCAACCTCCTTTTTATGTGGCTACTGAGCAAGCTGACGGAAGATCAGTGCTAACCCTATCAAGGCGACCAAATTCTGAAGGTGTGTTGTAGGAACCACAAGTACACATTTCAATCAAGGGTGCAAACTCCCTGAACAATTGATCCCCTGCAAAGAAATTTCAATGACAAAAAAAGGCAAAACATCACTGGAAATCGCGCACGTTTCTGTCCATTTATTGCAAAGAGCACGGTATGTAAAACGGTGGACTGACAATTACGTAGAATACATGTAGCGAGATTTGTGTAGTTTGTATTGCTCGATCGCTATCGCAGTCAACAGATCTGGATTATTTTAGGTTCAAGTTTGGATTAATAGCCAACGCTTACCCAACTCCAATCTACATAAAAAGTGTCCATCTGACATGGGTCGGAGGCACAAACCTACAACAAGGTGACTCAAAAAAAAACACAAAACCACTATGGAACTAGTAATAATGGAGATTCAGCATTCCATTATGGGCCAAACGAAACAACGCCGAAAGGACGAGTCTCGAAGGCATTTACCTTACGCGCACAACAGCTTCCCCACTAGTCGGAGCCTGACGAAGCCACGCACTGATCGCGTAGAGCTGACCGCTGCACGCGTTTGCGCAGCGGCACGCAGTTAGCTTGTGCTCCGTCTTAAGTAGGCCCGTGAGTGGGCCCACGGACGCGAGGAGAGCAGCCTGTGCAGTCACGTGGGCGGACGAGCAGAACGGGATGAAGGACTCGGCTGCCAGATGACGAATCTTGGCCACGGGATGAGCCAAGAAGGGCTGAAGGCTGCACCGCATTTCGGCTTGTCGTTCCTCACTAAATTAAGCAAGGTAGCAGATGGAGCACTGCTGGGTGACCAGTCATTAAAGTGAAGGAACTGATCACTATTACCCATTAGCAATTAATTTGCTGATATATGCAGATAATCTCCAAAAATGTAGTGGGATGTCAGACAAAAACAGTTATGAAAAAAACGATCTGTGGTGCCAATGAGTGAACAAAACCAAAATGACCTAAAGTTATTGCTGAACAAAGCTTATTCCCTTGTACCCTACGGAAAACAGCACTCAGATGACGGAGTGGCCGGTGTTGCGTCTTAGTGGGAGAATTGATTTAATATCCGTAACACTGAAATGACGTTTCAGACTTACCTAAGACTACAGAATTTCTATTAAAAAGAATTCCTTTCGCTAATGGTTTGCGAATCAGTTTCAAGCGCACCAAAACAAAGACCAATTTCGACAGGGAATCCGCAAACCACCACAGTGGCAGCTGGGATACACGACGGTTAGTAACTGTTAGGTGACGTTGAATTCGCGAACAACACAAGCATTCTTGGTCCAAGCACTGCTTAAGCAAACAACATCGAAAGACGCAGTACCATATTACTGCATGCAAAATCGGTAGCAAGTCACGTTCTAGTGAAGCATAATGTCATATGAGCATACGAAAAAGCAGCATTTGGAGACGGTTGAAGACGTGACAGCAAACCAAGCAGAGGCACCACGACTTTGGCCGTTGCACATCTCTGCCAACCTTCGGCGGAATGCAGCGACGAGAGGGTCGTCACGAAAGCGTCAAACAGAGCTGGATAGCGACCAAACACTTCGGCAATAGTCGTCCCCGGGCGAGTGTGCACTGGACCGACTAGACGCTTCACTATAGATGCTAAAAACGAAATCAAATAAATACAACGTTAGCTGCCAAGTGAATTATGCAAATCTCAAATGGTTTATCATCCACGCAATTACATTTGTTACGTTTTAGGTGTCATCGACATGAAACAGACTTCGACTGTGGAGTATTCGCTATCTGGGTCAAAGGTAGACAAGAGAAACAGGGCTTAGACACTCAAACACGATTGCATTGCGATATCTTATTCCTGTAAGAGGTTTATTTGTAAAAAAACACGCATAATACTGGATGTCTGACTGAAAGCTCAATCAAACCACTATCTACAAAAAAATCAACCAGAAATCATTTCGAGAAATCGTGTTATTGTCGAAGAACCAAGCAATTGGCTTCAATCGTGTAGTACCATGTTTTTAGGTAATAGGCCGTGGATATGCGACCCAGATAGCGGCAATTATTGGCTTGAAAAAACAAAAAGGCAATTTTTATATTATTCCCAGATGGTTGGCACGGCCACTGACCCGAATCGGTGAATCATGAGCGAAGGTTTTGATGTGGGTTCAAACAATACTATCCTATCAGATAATAGACCTGGGCTTGAGGAGTTCTGTAGCAGGCTGAAAATCGACAAGCTTACGGATCGACATGACGAAGTCACCATTTAAGATTACAAACGAATTGGACCATGGTTTGAAGGTGAATAGCAATCATCTCCCGTGCACTTTGGCCCCAGTTGCATAATACTACAAGAAGCGGCACAGAAGTATACATAGCTTTGGCCTGTCCTTTTGGTCATACCTTGGTTTTACTAAATTAAGCAAGTGAGGTAAACAGCATTACATATTTTTTTTTTCAATTGAAAATGTTTCCCGTGGATAGTGAACTCTACATTTACATAAAGTTTCACGCACGTACCTCCACAACAGGTACCACTTAAACCCAGTGGGATTCTTTGTTTGAGCGATATTTTAGCGAACCGACATACAGGTCAAAAATTCATATCTCGTCTTGGCTACTAAAACGTGTAATTTTCAAACAGGGCAAGTCCAAAACTTTTTAACTAAAAAATGCAAATTGTACATTTCATCAAGAATTATTACTTAAAACAACGCCACACTAAGTTTGAGGAAGTGATGATTGTGCGACTAGCACACACCATATGTTGCTGGTGGTGTACACCACGAATCTGGATTTTGTACAACACATTCATGAGTCACAACAAAGAATGAAACATGACAAGACTTCATGCCGAACGCCACGAGGCTTCCAAGCTTTTAAGCTCGTGATGATGTGACACGTACCAAACAATTGTAGTGAGCCATTCGCTATTGTCCACTGAGAGGCGGCGAAGCCAGGAAGTGCGAGCTTACAGGCGAGAATAGTCAACCAGTCATCACCACCTCGGTCTTCTGGCGGAACCGACGCAAAGGCCACTGGTCCCAGTCGGGCATCCTCAAAGATCCCCTTGATGAGATGCAACGCGAGGGCACGCGGCGGGTCGTATTTCTCTGGATCCCCAGCCTCGGTAGATCCAGTGGAACAAGAGATGTCGAGGAGAGATGATAGCCATCGATGAAGAAGAGGCTGACAGGGGCAAACACTTTGATCCTTAGGAATGAGTTCCACTGGAATACGTTGTTAAAACAATAGCGAACCTGTTCTAATGGGGAGGCAACCAATTCGGCCATTAATGCTGCTTTTGAAGCCGGCCACAGACCAGCTGAACGCCTGGTAACGGAGAACTTACAATCCCTGACGGCTGACAAACAGACGTCAATCACTTGATTTGGCCGAATTAACAAATCAAGGATGCTTTGCAACTGATCCTGCTTCGCTGTGACAGTTCGGAAATGTTGGCTCAAGTACTCTGAGATGGTGAGATAATCTTGCAAGCTCTGATGAACTGCTTCCACCGTTCCCTTTCAAGGAAAAAATAATGATTGTAGTCAAGAATAATTTAAGTAGGTAAGAAATGTGATAGTTATTCTTGTTGAACTTTGGATACAAAAATGACACAAATTATGTTTCTGCGAGTAATCGTGCATCACTTTTCAGGGTATGCCTCATGCCGTTGAGTAAATTTTGCAAAATGGACGAAATCTCACCTTGTGACGGCAGGACATGAGAATTCGTATCAGCTGCTTGCCCACGAGTGTAAAATATTGCCGTGCTAAATCATCCAAAGGTTCTCCGCGAATTAGAGCCAACAGGACACGAAAGTGAACCCATTTAGATAATATACTTGAGGTTATCTAGAGAAAGGAGACCAATTAACACCGAATATAATGTGAACCTCGAGATTATGCCAAGCCCATGAAAGAATGTGCTGATACTCAGGGAAGAGTGCAGTCGTAGAAGTTAAAGAATCCCAGATTTCATGAGCACTACAAATTGTCAGAAATTACTTGGAGATGTTTGAGCTCAGATTACCTTTCTGATTCCGAAGGGGTTTTTATTGTAGTTTGAGCCTGTCGAGCCAAATCGAGGATGGTTCGACCAAGAGTTTCGAAGGACGATGTTTCAACTGAAATATTAAAAAAAACTGAAGTGGAGGCAGGCAGCACGATAGGTCTTAGAGATGAAAATAACGCACGCCCGCAAACAACAGAAGACAGACTGGTCCCCTCTTTGTTCTGATGCGACCAAGGGCACCCCATAAGGGCCAGACAGGCGCTAGAAAGGTGGAGGCAGTGTTTAACCAACTCGGGGCTGAGAAGGTTACCCAAGCGACTCACATCATCATCCAGCTCGTGAGCTTGAATGAAAATAGATTGCGGGAACTTTGACCTGACGACATACCAGGACAAAATGCGGTCTGCAGCCGCCAAAAATCCTGCAAAGGAGGTAAATAACGCTGTTATATCGGTTACAATTACCAAAAGGATACAATACATGGTAGAAAACAGTAGTGAAGTCATCAACGCAGAATCAGATGAAGTGCATTGATGGAGTCAGGGGAAAACTTGGACGAAGCTAGAAGGAGGGCCAGAAATAGAGGTCATGCAAAGGAAATCTTGGAAAATGAAAGTTCAAACGAATAAAAAAATTGCTGACAGCGACAGCAAACTTTAAATTAAGCACTCTCACCGTGGCCTGGTTTCGTCAATATCCTCTCAATTAATCGCTGATGCATTTGTGCATCCGTACTATCGCATATAATAGGTATGGCATCACACAGATCGCGCATGCTTGCAAGAAGTCTTGAGGTTACTTGAGAGACGTCACTTGAGGAGAGCACTCTGGAGAAGGAAGCACAGGATTAATTTAAGGTCAAGACTCTACGTGGAAGGGATAAGTGGTTTACGAGGTTAAAAGCCACTGCAACAGTGCCGCCCCTGCAGTGTAGCCTTCAGGTGAGTGCAGATCACACCAGGTCTCGGCAAGCTGGATTAGGTCGGCGTGAATTTCGCTATTTAACCATGCCGCTGAAGTAGGGGACCAGTAGGTGGTAAGGATATTGACAATACTGCACTGGATCTAAGGGAAAACGAAAACACTCAAGGAATTAACTATTTAGCAATTAATACAACTGTACTTGGGATGGTGGCAGCTATATACCTTTAAAAACCTAGTGCCATTTTAATAGAGGTGGCCAGTTATACTAAACTGGGTATTTCTTATTGGCACACCTTAGCCCAGTGATGATCTTAAAATCTGGTACAAGTGTTTCGTTTGACGTCCACAAACACCCGTAGAGGACAAAAGGTCGCAAGTTACACACTACCATGAACACGTAGAAATGGAATGGAGCTAACAGGCTAGGCTAGCACCAAGCGAAATTCCCCTCTTGAAATAGATTTATGTGGGTAAACGATCTTGAAATAGAGTTGTATGCACCAAAAGAACGGTTTACTGACGAGAAAATGAGCTTCTGACATAGAAATACCTCTGGATTGGTATGTGGAAGTGATGATATCAGTTGCAGCCAAGTGGTCTTTTCATAGAGGGAAGGGAATCCTGATGTGCTGACGAAGTGAGTCAAAATTTGCTTCAGGGTCCGCTGGGTGCCTTATAAATGGCAGGACAGTTAGACAGAGAAGTCAAAAATGAATAGGCTGATAAACCAACTTACATGGCTCGAACCCAAACCGTTTACCGATTTTCCTGGAATCATTCTCAATGTAGGACAGCTCAAATAGACAGCTGATAAGACTTATCAGCATTTTTTGTCGCTGATACGGCATACCAGGCGGAAGCATAGGATGGAACACCAAATCTCGTAGGAAAGGTGTCAACCCAGATATCTGTTTTTCAAGGAAAGCATCAAGATTTCCGTAATTGCAGGACCACAATCCGGCCGCAAATCGATAAATATCACCTAGATGAAATAGTTATCATCAAACATGCGTTTATTTAAACATTTCCGAGTGTCGTGGGAATAGTTTAGTTAGGTTGCGCGTAGTTTTCTGTGGATCCCAAACTGTTTGGATTACCTACCTACCTACCTACCTAAACTTTAAAGTACTTCATTCAATTTTGGAATTAACTAAAGTATCGGCTGAGTCTGCAGCGGGTCACCCAACGCGATAGCATAGACTTACTTCTCACACAATAAAACATGCTTAGTTTTTTTACACAATTTGTTCAACAAAAAACACTTTTAAGCCCAAAATTACTTTGTTTAAGTGCATTCAAAAATTACCTGTTCACAATTTACGGGTGAGGCCAGGGTCACAGAACCTGGTAGGCCAGGTGCAGTTTAAACCCATCGTACTGAAGAAATGTTAACAAATTAATTAAAAGGGTCTGATTGCGTACGCAGAGTCTTACAGACAGGTCAGTCAATGGGACACCTTATCCTAAAAGCGGCCTCGTTTAGAACTGGGAATACCAAAGCTTAAAAGGGGAACCACTTTCATGGCAACAATTTGGAATTTCATGACACACGATTTCTCCTGGAATAAGAGCAACTAAAAAAACAGATCAAATTAATGTAGTTTCTTGACCATCGGATTAGCGAAAAATCTTTTTTACGATTAAAGAAAGATATTAACACTGATGGCGAACGAATATTCAGCATCACCATACCCATTGCATGCAGATAGGATTCCACTGGAACATTGTCAAACGTCACCTCCGAAACATCGGGATACCCGCTAACTTGACACCCACGGGGAACGTCAAAGGAGTTGGCGTCTTCGATGCTGGATGAGACGCTACGGTTACGAATGAAAAGAGCCATTTCAAAAAAGGCGTGAATTGCCATGTCGCGAGCAGCAGGGTGGGTCGAGGAAAGCAGGCTTGAAACTCCCCGAAGAACCGATCGGTGAAGGAAAGGTTGCGGATTTACTGCCGGTGGAAGCTTAACAACTATTTGCGCTAGCGCTCTGCAGGCTTCTGCTCGTATTTTATCACTGTTGTGTTCCAGAGCTGCTTCAACCAGTTTCGGATTCTGCAAAAGCACCAACAATAGCTGACATGATTAACAAGGAAAAGTCCTGTCAAACATAGAACGGATCGAAACACACGACATCGCATGTAGCCAGCAACCGGGCCAAAGTTTGGGCCGAATACCAGCCATAGGACGGTAACATATTGGACACACTTCCATTTATTTTGCTTTTTAGAAAGCCCTGAACTAGAAGCAAATCAAAACACGCAACTACACGATGCAGTTGAATGCACTGTGGATAAACGAGGTTCAGTAGGATGTTGTTTGAGAAAAAGTAACGTAGAGGCTGGAATAGGACAAGAGAATTTCCACTTCCTGGTGTCACAAATGCAACGGCCAACGTATTATATTTTAGTCAGTTTACTTGTCTTTGTGTCGCTTTGTTAAATTAAAAGCAGAATAGATGTAGTTCTGATAGATTTGCGGTCCAAAAAAATAATAAGCAGTTTTTCATTTGAGTGAAAACTATGACAATTTGACAGACAGCCAATTTGTAAAAACGACGATCAACATGCCTCGTTAATAATTTGAAGAGCAGAACCAATAGGGAGCAGAGGAAGGAGCGCCACAAAAACTGTGAGACGATGATCACTGACGTGACTTGAGAACTGGCATTTCATTTCAAGTAGAAAGACCAGGTGATTGATGAGCTCCAGGATAAACGGGGTGTTTTCTGTAGACGGGGGATCCCAAGCGTCGAGGTAGAAGTTGCCCGCACGAAGGTTCGCAAAGGGAGATTTTGCGCAATGCAAAAAGAAGTTGTGGAGTCGCAGTTTCTGTAAAAGGAATCAACGTTGTAGAACACAAAACTAAGCGATTTTACCTATGCCTTTCAGTGGTCACACATTAAAAACTAAAAGTTGAGTCATGAAAGACTTGTCTACTGCTTGTTTAATTCTTTTAATAGTGTTATTATTATGGGTATATCTTGTCTGAAATTACCTAACAGATTATAATTTGACGCCCAAGAGAAATGCACCTTGTAGAGACAGGATATCTGTAAAACGCAGGAGGCCAAATTTAACTGGTAATAGACACAACAAACAAACAGGCTGCACCCAACAGGAAGTTAGTACTTGGTTCAGGTGACAGGGGAAGCTATACGTTTGGATTCGTTGGTGTTTTCACAAATGATATCTAAATGTGACCAATGTGGCTAGTAAAGGCTCCACCGAAAGCAATTCGTAAAACAGAAGAAGCCTACAGTCACTGAATGGATATCTGTTTCTGTCAGCCCTCTTAGCTGCTTCTCGGTGGAGCAGGAGATGAGACCATGGAGCAGGAAGTTGGCCAACGGACGCAGTATGCCTTCGAGCCAGTCATTAACGTTGCTCTGGCTAAAAATAATCAAACAAAGAAACGAAAATAAGCTAAATACTCAATTTATTCAAAGAACCGCTCATGTATATTCAAATCGAAATCAATTTCACTGGTTCAGTTTTAGGGTTACAGGAGCTTATCATAATTGGGAGAAAAAAAATGGGAGGCTCAGACACCCTATAGAAATTCATGAGCCTTGAAACACAATAAAGGACTTACCATTTCAACAGAATGGATGTGATTGCGTCACCAGCACAAGCCGCAGAGTAGTTCCTTGCCAGAGATAGTAGAAGGCTAGACATTAAGTAGGGAGACTTCTCAAATACCTGAAGAGTTAAAGCGGTCAGTTAGGCTTACCTTATTCTGCAAACAGGACGGTTATTTACATATACTATGACACAAATAACGCGATCAATAAAAATGTTGCTTCGAGGAAGAGAACAAACAGATCCAGCCAGTTACTAACAAAACAGTAAATATAATTTGCGGTGGGAAAAAGCCCGCTTTAATACTATTTTTGACACATAGTCACACTAGAACCACGCGTGTATATTTCTCATTCTAGACGTGAGTCCAAGACAAAAAATGATAAGTACTTAAATGGGAGGTATGGTCACAACACATCATATAGAGTAATTATTCAGAAAAGAAGTCAAAGAACTTGAACTCACCCACGTGAGAGGTGCACACAACAGCAAAAACTTCACTAATCTTAATGAACCCTTCGTAAGGATAACAGCCTTTGTTAAGCAATATGGGCTCCCAAGAATGCATTTCTCAATTAACTCGGAGATAAGCCATTCAGAAAAAAACACCGGAAGCCTGTTAGATGTGAAATGAAGCGCAAAGATATTCGAGAAAAAGCGCGCAACCAAAGATACAACCCACGACTCGTTACTATCCCAATGGGGCAACAGATGATGACAAGCAGACTTCAAGATATATGATTCTTCGTCAGATACCTGCAACACAATTATACAGGTTTTCAGTCATACTTTATCAGTGCTGTTTTTCTGTAAGTGCTTTTCGATGTAGGTATTCAGTAGTTCGATACATTCAACGAGCATATCAGAAGTGGTTGTGAGAAGGAATGGTTCAAGTGCACGGAGTAATAACACTAAATCGACTTCTTGTGAAATATGTTTGAATTGAAATCGGGCACTCAGCATTCCGCCGATCAACGCCAAACGTGAGCGAGAAGGATTTACATTTAAATTTATTCCCAGTTGTCCGAGAAGAGATGAAGTTGAAATGCATCCTGGCGGCAAACAATGTTATAAACTAATAAATTACCAAGAATAACTGAGGCGATATGCTCTGGAGGAAATGGACGCTTCCACTTTAAGCTACACATAACCAAACAAAGAGAGAACTGACGCCAACAAGCTTGCACACACGTCTAAAAATGGTTTGTTTCAAAAATCAGCCTACACTCGAGAAGCACTTCTCTGCAAAATCCAGAAGTTCCTTCTCATGCGAATATGCATTTGAACGAATAATGCTTTGTAACAATGCCTAGAGTGAAAATGTTATTGATGGTCACATTAATATTACATGAAGATCCTTTTTAAGCACGGAATGATGTTCTCTCTTGTCCATGGTTGACTGAAAAGAACAGAGTTATCAGTCCAAAGCTGGGTGGAGCAAAAAAGCAACATATGAAAGTTGATCACAAAATCACTCGGACCAGTCACGACAATACGGGTAAACAAATTCTGGAACTAAGGGGTAATAAAATGACAGTGTGCATACTTTACAAGGACTTGGCCGAATTTCTATGGCAAAATAGACACGTATTCCTGCCGACTGGTGTGTTTAACACAACCATAGCCCAACAAAACTAGGTCTACGTTAGTCTAGGGGTATTCAACATGTTGAATGGAAATAATCAGTGAGATGAACATTAATGACCATACCCGAGTAATGGGTCATGGGTAGATTGTAAATATCTGAATTGACTAATGATACAAGTGATTTATTTTGTCTTTTTAATGCCCAAATATCTTAAGTTCTGTTAGCGCAACAGCAAGCACCACGCTAGTACTCGAGTCAACATTCAAAATCGGTTAGTATTGCAAGTGGGTACAAGAAAATAATAAAGTACACAATCTTATACCTAATGCCGAGTTAACTCAAAACGGACCCTTAGAATAATCAAAACGTGACACAAACGGGAGCACACCAATGACCTTCAATTAAATTGCCTCCAGGTTCACTATTCATCTCTCCACCAATTACTGAAAGGAAAGGCAACGTCAGACAGTCCTTGAGGTTAATATCAGGCAGTTATCGCTAGTTCAAATGGTTTTGACGTATACATTCAGACATCAGCCTCCGAATTGTCGCGTTGACAAGTGGAATTTTAGTACCCTTTCTCTTTTTTCAATAAGTCCCCTAACTCATAAATTTGGTTTGCAACTTCGACAACCATATAGATCATGACTTTGAGTGTGATAATACACCCAAAATTTTGAATTCGGGTTCGTTTATTAAGCAGCTTGCTTATTCCCTGGGATCAAGTTCAACATAAAACCGGTTTGGGACTAAAAAAATGCCTCTGTCTACAACTTGGTATTTAAATAGAATTTTTCGGTTTTTTGTTTAAAGCCACTACGTCTCAACCACACTTAAGTGCTATTCATTTGCATCAGAAGTCAGGGTTATAGACGCTTGCGGCATTTTACTTAGCCTTTAACTTATGTCCAAGTTAACCAATTTAAATTCACAAAGTCTGTTTCAACTAAATTTCATTTCGTGTAGAACTGTGAACGTGACAAATCCTGGGTTGTTAACTTGTAAAACTAACTTATCGAATGATCAAATAATACGAAATAAAGATGTCCCAAACGTTCTTTAAAATTCTTATATTTTGAAAATATGTGGCCTGAAAAGAGGACACGGAAATGATTTGACATATGACTGGTAGGTGACACAATTCGCTTCAAAATCTGTGGAGCTACCAAATCATGTCACTTGTCTAGTTTTATCAATAAACCTTAGTCCATATTTTATCACATGTAAGAAATTTGATAACATTTTCATGTGCAGCTAGAATCATAATTCTGAAATAGATAACGCCGATGAAGTTGACACAAAAACAATTTTGTCCATAATAATCAGTGTTATCGAATTTAAAAACATCAACTTTTTTAAAAAAGCTTGCTTAAAGTTTAAAAATACTATAGAATAAGCATTGGGTATTTTATTTGCAAAATATTATAAGGAAGGATAATCACAAGCCAATGCCAGAAATGCTTTATTACTCAGGCTTATAACGATTTCAATCCCCAGCTTTTATAAATCTGCACCATTATTAACAAAATTACAATGATTTTGCATTTTACTATTTACAATAAACTTAAAGAAAACTATGCTGCAATTATCCTGCATTTAAGCTATTAAATTGGACCTAGAAAACTTACTTTATTCTGCATAATACCCACAGTGAACATTTTGATGGAATTGTCATTATTTTATTGTAAGAATTTGCTTACAGCCTAAATCAAACGAACTAACTTGTGCTCTGTAAATTTGTTCTTCGAGATTACTCTCATTCGGTTCAAAAAATGGAACTTTTGCCAGAAAAAAACATATTCAATTAAGTTTGGGCTCTTTAGGAACCTAAGCAAGTCAAACTTAAATATAATCTGATATCATTCTTATCTTAGCAGTGGTTTTTAATAAGTCACCAGTAAAAAGGTAAATGAGGCTATTGTAACACTTATCGTATCCGCTCGTGACAGTGTCGATTTCGAAATCATAAAAATACCTTCAAAAATCGTTTAAAATGCAGCTACAGGCGTTACGAAGTAGTGATGTTTTGGGGCACTTTATTACATTTAATTTGTCTCTCACTTTAAAATGCTTAACCGCCTTAACAATATTAAAATTCTTTATTTTCTTCATAGGAAAATTATGTGCAATTTAAAGTGTTGTAAAAATAAATCTGGCCCGACCCATTTTGTCGTAGACTCACCACAGATGTTCATAACGGGATTACTTAAAACTAAGATAAAGTAGTGTGTACATAATCAGCAATTATGAATTCCACTGAAAGAACTAATTATAAAGCTTAAGAGCACCAGTTTGTAGCTACTTGAGGATGCGGAGGGCGTACTGAGCTCAAGCAAATGTCACTGAGTGTAAAACGTTTTCTTCGAATGTTGAATGGAAAAAGTCTATTTATGATGTGCGCTTAGTAAATCTAATAAGCTACGTGGCCTAATTACTTGAACAAGCAGTTTTAGAATGTACTAAAATGGTTCAGTCAGTAACTTTATTTTGGATAAGTCATTTAACCTGATGGGGGCTGCATCCACATTCGCATATTTTTCTCTATGCATTCAATATGTAATTACTTCCTAGCGTTGTACATCACCTTCAAAGCAGCTTGCGGTTTTTGTTTTAGATACATAAATGGCTTGAAATAATTCTTCACATCACAAACATAAAACCTTAAGTAAATGTTGCAGTTAGCCTGTTGCGTGATGTGTTGTAGCCCGAAAACATGGGTATTCATTGGATTCCTTTAATCCAACTCAAAGTATCTGCATTCAGAAAAACATAGACATGGAAGATTTATGCAAGAAGTATGTAAAGCCCCATAAAATCAGGCAAAGAGTAAAATAAGGTCGGATCTTATATTTAGATAGCTAATAGTCTCACAACTGAAGGTCAACTCTGGTTTTCAAACAGCGTCAAAGGTATTGGTAGGGCGTGCTTATGGCCATAAAAAATTTACATAAGTTGCGTACACGAGCTCTCAATAAGTTGTCAGGCTTACGATTTAAGCGAAATCCCTTTTCCATTGTAAGTTGTAGGCACCAGGCCAAAGGTTTGTTGGGCTTTTGAGTACACCGAATTTCTCCTAAAACTCCAGAAATTTCCAGAACTAATTGCCAACGTATAATATTTAAATATAGGTCAAAGCTGTTTGGTAAATATTTCTGGCTATGCTGAAATTCCCAGCAAAATTATGCAACTTTGTTATGGAAAACTGAGTCATTCATGAATGTATTGATAGGTAATAAGCAGTTTAATGACTTTTGACTTTGTCTAAAGTAGAAATATTTGAGTAATTTTGATGTGGCCGGTAAAAGAAAAGAAGCGGACCCTAAGTTTTCCAACTGTTAAGCTGAAAGTTTTACTTTTTAAGAAGGTAGCATAATGCGTTTAAATGTTATGATGGACTTGTACCGATGAAGACTGTGCCGGTAGATTTCCCTCACAAGTTTTATACTTTAAATCTCTAATTACGCAAACACCATGAAGGTTTTCTTTAAGGTACTTGTCCCCACTTCGCTGCCGTTTCTGACCGTAAATGGCCTTGTCTCAATTTCTTTTTGAGTTTTCGGCATATTTCTACAATCTATTTAACAACCGTGTTGCTCATATAAATTGTGTGGAAAGTGGTTCTTCCTGGTTTTGCGCAATTCGACAATTTCATTTACAAATAATAGGTAAATGTGGATAGTCATTTTTGAAAAAAATTGAAAAATCATGGACCTATGGGATACATTGACCTTGAAAACATTGAAATCTTCACGTGCAAGAACTTTGGACTACCTCTGCGTTTCAATTCCATAGAAACATTTAAATGTTTGACATTTCCGTCAGAGACATGAAAAGTGTTGGTAGATGGAACCGGTTTTTGAAAGTTAAAAGTAAGTCCTGTCTTAATATAAAACCAATTTTGCATGCAAACTACATCTCAAAACACTCACGGTTGTTTACTGACCTAGGCTGTTTACCGAAAGGTAACGTTGTCAGCCAGTTGGTTCTAAAACAGATGTGACTTTTAGAAAACTGAGAGGAATGCTTGGCTGTCAAAAGGAACGAAATTTTGTTTTTGGTCTGTATTATGCCTCGTATAACCCAGAAGTGCCTTTTCAGGGTTATGACATTGCAAACTCCTAATTGTGCAACTTCGTGAGTGCGCCTTGCACGACGATGCTTTAAGTACCTTGGCTAGTACATTGCTTTTACTGTGCAATTGGACAATTATTTAAATTCAGCAGGAATAAGACCTGTCAGAAAACCTATCTTGCAAAGTCAGAGCCCTTGGAGC